ATACTTGTCTAGTGAATGAATGAATGGAAGGTTGTGATACGAGTGACTTAAGTTACTCATACGGTTTCATTCCTTATCTCTGTTACTGCACCTACTCGGTTCCTACAGCAAGAATTCTAAGCAGCCAACATCTGATCCTTGAGTCTGTTCTTGTAGCTTATCTCAGATACAAGAAATGTAACATGATGAGGATGTTCTAGTAAAGTCTACTGGTCAACAGGACCAAACAGCTCAGGCCAGCAGCAGAGATGCATGACGCAAACATAGTTCCTATTGACTAGAGTTGTCCAAAGCACTCCAAAGCCAGCTAGACACTCACAGCAGGATAAACTTGGATCAAAAGTTATGTGAGGAACCAGGAATAGATACATAGTCACACCAGTCTGACTACTCTGCTTTTTATAGGAGACCAGAGTAAAGATATGTAAATAATGTAATTTTTTTTTTGTCCCTCAATTTACAAAATCAAATTTTCTGCACTTCTCTCAGGATTGTTAGAAACTGGGCACAATGTATGACACCAATATCTCTCCAGGGTTAACCACATAGATTATCTAGTTAACTATGGTGGCCCCAAGCAAGGGCAGTGTGCCAGGTAGAGAAGAATTTTAATGGGTATAAGCCCTACCCCTGCAGGAGGCCCCCAGTCCCTATGGATGGGACAACGTGAACTAGAAAAATAGGGGGTGAAGGTAGAATGGGAGCCTGAGGTTGGTTCTGGAGATTTGCCTACCCTGCCTACCCTCCCTCCCCACCTGCTTCTGGGCCCCAGGAAATGGCAGGGAGAGGCGGGATGCAGGTGGCTGCATGCCCAGGGAGATAGGGGCCCCTCCGGGTATGCTGCCCGGCGCTGATCTAAGCTGACTTGGCACCAGAAGGACCTGACCGGCTGCTTGGGCACCAGCAGTGGGCCCTGAAGTGGCAACTCCTGCTTTGTGCCCCCTCTCCCCCAAGGCATGGGCCCGGAAGCCTGACCGAGGGCAGCTGGACGCGTGTCTATGCTGCAGTGTGACAACTCCCCAGCACTGCGGCCCATCAAGTGTCAAGGTTTGGGGGCTCATGATCTGGGTTAATTAGCTCCCTTTCTAGGCCTCCACAGAGAATAAAATCACTCTGCATTCTTTAAAGGAAACTTCTGAGCAGTAAAAATAACACAAAAACATTCTTTATTGAGAGTATTTGCTTGAAAAAGAATGTTTTGTGAAAATGATTCACTCCTTTTCCTAACCAGTAAAACTATATTTAAATATATCTGAAATCTCATAAAGCCAGTTTTGAGGTGATGTGGTCTTCACCCGTTTAGCCTACACTTTCCAACATGCATCGCCCTCTTCCATTCACCTGTCTCAGGGGGCAGTTCCACCACCTCCCAGAAGACCCACGAAAACCCAGCAATTGTCTCTGCCTGGTAGTAATAGTGTAACACTTACACAGCAGTGATTCTCCACCGGGGGCGATTTGACCTCTCTGGGGACACTTGGCAATATCTGGAGACATTTTTAGTTGTCACCCTTGGGTGGAGGTTTATGGCAGGGGACAGAGTGCTGCTGGTATCTAGTGGGTAGAGACCAGAAATGCAGCTAAACATCCTACAATACACAGGACAGATCCTTCACAACAACGAATTATCCAAAATGTCAGTAGTGCCAAGATTGAGAAACGCTGTTTACATAGAGTTTACTAAGTGCCCATACTCTCCTAAGTGTCAGTTCCTTAACCCAACACTACAAGAGAGGGACTATTGTCATCCCCGTTTTGCAGATGAGGAAACTGAGGCTCAGTGAAATGAAGTGGCTTGCCCAAGATCACACAGCTAGTAAGTGCTAAGTCAATATCAGAATCAGGTCACTTGGCTGCAGAGGCTATGCTGACACCTCACTCCACATGGCCTCCCTTTCCCAGATCCAGGCAGTGATGAAGTCCCTCAGAGCCAACCCCTTATATCCTGTGGCTCCGTCTACATCACTCTGTCCCATTCAGGCCTCCACCCTCTCCTCCCTGGGCCATGCAGTGGCCCCCCTGCTTCCAGCTCCACGGCACTCTTGTTTACCTCCGTCAGTCTCCCACTGCTGATGAGAGTGACCTCAAAAACCCAGATCTGATCACGCCTCTAGCCCCTGCTTGAAACCCTTCAACAGGTCCCTGTCACCTACAAGGTAAAGCTCAAACTTGTCAGGATGGAGTCTGAGCTCTAGTAAGGAGCCCTGCCATGTTGTTGGTGGGAATGTAAATTGGTGCAGCCACTATGAGAACAGTATGGAGGGTCCTTAAAAACTAAAAACAGAACTACCATATGGTCCTGCAACCCCACTCCTGGGCATATATCTGGAGAAAACCATAATTCAAAAAGAGTCATGTACCAAAATGTTCATTGCAGCTCTATTTACAATAGCCCAGAGATGGAAACAACCTAAGTGCCCATCATCAGATGGATGGATAAAGAAGATGTGGCACATATATACAATGGAATATTACTCAGCCATAAAAAGAAACGAAATTGAGCTATTTGTAATGAGGTGGATAGACCTAGAGTCTGTCATACAGAGTGAAGTCAGTCAGAAAGAGAAGGACAAATACCGCATGCTAACACATATATATGGGATTTAAGAAAAAAAAAATGTCATGAAGAACCTAGGGGTAAGACAGGAATAAAGACACAGACCTACTGGAGAATGGACTTGAGGATATGGGGAGGGGGAAGGGTGAGCTGTGATAGGGCGAGAGAGAGACATGGACATATGTATACTAACAAACGTAAGGTAGATAGCCAGCGGGAAGCAGCCGCATGGCACAGGGATACCGGCTCGGTTCTTTGTGGCTGCCTGGAGGGGTGGGATAGGGAGGGTGGGAGGGAGGGAGATGCAAGAGGGAAGGATATGGGAACATATGTATATGTATAACTGATTCACTCTGTTATAAAGCAGAAACTAACACACCATCGTAAAGCAATTATACCCCAATAAAGATGTTAAAAAAAAAAATAATAATGACCTCAATAAAATGACCCTAATTTGCGCATCAAAAAAAAAAAGATACATGCACCCCAATTTTCACTGCAGCACTATTTACAATAGCCAAGACATGGAAGCAACCTAAATGTCCATCGACAGATGAATGGATAAAGAAGATGTGGTATCTACACACACTGGAATACTACTCAGCCATAAAAAGGAACAAAATAATGCCGTTTGCAGCAACATGGATGGACCTAGAGATTATCATACTAAGTGAAGTAAGCCAGACAGAGAAAGACAAATATATGATATCACTTATATGTGGGATCTTAAAAAAAAGATACAAGTGAACTTATTTACAAAACAGAAATAGACCCACAGACATAGAAAATAAACTTAGGGTTACCAAAGGGGAAAGGAAGGGGGTGGGATAAATTAGGAGTTTGGGATTAACATATACACACCACTATAAGTAAAACAGATAACCAACAAGGACCTACTATATAGCACGGGGAACTATATTCAATATCTTGTAATAAACTATAACAGAAAAGAATCTGAAAATATATATATATATATATATATATAACTGAATCACTGTGCTGTATACCTGAAACTAACACAACATTGCAGGTCAATTTTACTTCAATAAACAAATAATTTAAAAAAAAGAATAATCACTCTCCAGGCCTTCTCCGGCTTCCCAAATTCCTTGCACGTCATTAAAACTGACATGATGTTCCCATCTCTCTGCCTCTACTCTGCCCGCAATACCTACCCCTACCTTGCTTATCTGGCAAACATCAATTGACCCTTCAAGAATCAATCCCAGTGTCACCTCCTCCAGGAAGCCTTCCTGGAGCACCCTAGACTTCCAAGTAGAACTGACCACTCCCTTCTTTGTGCCTTTGCCAATTACTCCCATAACTTTTATTTTTAAAAATACATTACCATTTTTCTTTGCTTTCAAGTCGGTCCCTCAAGGGCCGAGACCTTGTACTATTTTACTTACCTCTGAAGTCCAGCCAAGTAACTGAGCAGTCACTCAGCAAATATCAAATGAACCAAAGATGAAATATCTTGTATGGTTTGAATTCTTTCAAGATGGGGTGAGGGTGAATCACTATCTGCAAAGAGAGTCTATCCCACTGGACACTGCCATTTTTAGGAAGTTCTTATATGCAGCAGCAGTCAGTTTCTGCATTGCCTTGACCCAAGGGTTTGGTCATATGCCCAGGAATACCAAGGGCTGCCGCTGACCGTTAAGATAGTTCTCACTACCCTCCTTCTCATTCCCTTCCCCAGGCTGAACGCCTCCAGCTTCTCTTCTCTTCCTAACAGACACTGTTTCAAGATTCCTTGTAGTCTTACAGTATGTACTTAATTACTATGCAAACCTAAATCACAATGGACTTAAGCTGGACACATTTGCAAAATATACACAGATTCCTGAGATGCTGCTTAAAATGTACATCAAATCAAAGGTCTCAAGTTCAAGGGCCCGAGGGCCCGGGCAGGTAAGATCCATGACTGAAGTCTGCAGGAGGTGCTCAACCAGAGGCAGGAAGGGTTGTGGATGGACAGAGCCTGCCTGTCCCAACCACACACCTCTGGGATCGCTGCCACTCAGGAACGGAGGCCCGGCGTCGCCAGATCTTTGGATCTTCTGAGAAAAGCTAGAAATTTTCATTTTCATAGAAGTTTTTAGATCGCTGTAACTAATTTTTTTTTAATTGAAAACAATGTGTATGCCAAAAGCAACCAGCCAGCTCTGGCTGTCAGCTGCTTGTTTGTGGCCTTGGCTTTAAATAAAGAATTGCTCAAGTGATTCCGAAATTTAAGTTTTTGTATTTAGGGTTGAAAAGGTGCACAGATACATTGAGTGGTGGACACATTAAGGGCAGAATTTAAATTTGAAATTAAGCTAGAACACTAGGGTTAAAAATAACTTCAAGGCATAAATCACTAAAGAGGGTGAGGGAAAGCAGAAAAACAGGGACCTTCCTAACCAGTGTCCAAAGGCGAGCGAGGCACAGACTCAATTACCTGTCACCAAACCCATCTCCAGCAAGGCCTGGAACAAGCTTCGGTGCTTGGCTTTCAGCTCCTTCTCCCAGAGGAGGGCTCTGCACATCGAGGGCTGCCCGTACCTGAGCTTCAGGTCCAGGTAGGAATTCCGGAGGTCGCCTACAGGAAAGGGAAGCACAGGATACCATTAGAGGGAAGCCTTGCCTCTCTAACTCCCTTCCTCTATGGGGAACTAGAAATAAGAGGTCAGACTTAGCATTACTGGATGTTGGTTTGGGTGCATCAGGGATTTGAAACTGGCTACAATGCCTCTGCCTCGAGGTCACAGATTCAAAGCCAAGTCCAAGGGAAATGTGCCAAAGTTGCTGATGGCTGTTGAATAATTCTACAGAATGAGCAGATGGCCTCGGACTGGTCCCCAGGAGGACAATATCTAGGCCATTTTATTGGCAGTGTGAGTCAACACAGCACAGGGACCCCCCAGGGAGGAAAGGCAGTTGAAGATGTTAGGAGAATCTTCCCAATGCCACCAAACAGATCTGCATGCCAGACCGGCCTTCTGACTCTGGGTATCTCTCCTGAAATTACATCAGCTATCAAAATCAGTTTCTTTCCTGTTTGGGATATTACTATTCCTATATATCTTCCCTTCTTCTGACTGCATCATATTTTCTGGATGATTCAGCGGTGAGAGCAGCAGCTGGGAGACTAGTATAGCCTATTCTTAAATTAAATTGCAGAAGTGCTGCCTTTCTACACTTACCTATCACCATCCCTAATCACTTCCTATGACCATTTTATGTGAACCCTTTCAGAATGGGGTATGTTCAACATGTATCCATTCCTCCATGGTCTGAAATGGGAAGCTCGGCTCTGGAGATGTTGAGATTATTTAGGCAGGACTGAAATACTCAATTTACTTTTGCTGATGGCAAAGGCCCCACAGGAATTTCTCTTCCAGAAAGAACATATGTGACTAACTCTAGTGCCACCATATCATGCAAGAAGATCTATAGCCAGAGAAATTTATAAGTGCTGGAACATTGGAAGACAAGACGGGATGAGTTTTATAACAGATACCCACTCCGTATGAATGAAAGGATGTCTGCAAATACGGGCAGGCACAGAAGCAGTCTATTTGAAATTCATTCCTTCTGTTGAAAAGTTACCAATGTCTCCCAGAATGAGTCCATTTCAAAGATTTAAAAAATAAAACCCAGCCCCAAACAACAAAGCCATTGTTCAACATTTCTGAAGGCTAATATTCAGATATTAATGGTCCAAGACAAAAGTGCACCGACGGGGAAACATTTCTAATGATTAATTTATTTTCCAATTCATTTTTATTTTCTTAGACTGGCCTAAGATCCCATTATGGATGGGAATAATGCAATTTGAGGCTCAAAACACTCTCATTTATATTCTCAAACTAAATTACAGCTAGTTGAAGCCACGAGGCAGGTTTGGGTTCTTGCTGGCTGTTGATCTTGGTGGGATCTACGTGGAAGGCACACTATCATTTGCATCCATCTGGGGAGGTCATACTTGCCCCCATTGGTCAAGTCACATATGTTCTATTTCAACCCCCTTATGAAAGAAGCCAAGTGTGTTGCTACAAACGCCTGGAGCTAAAAATCGCTCTCCTGAAGTTCAATACTTACATGCTTCTTGTCTCCTGTCCCCCTGCTGTACCGTGGATGTGTACACAGATACTATTTCTTGAACCTCTGCACACCTTTCATAATATAACTTGATATGTTCAGCAAGCTGCTTCTCAAGTAGGGGATTGAAAATCTACAAGAGGGCAAGAAAACAGAATGAACAACAATTGTCCTCAAACACCCATGGGTACCCATGAGGCTACGTTCAGGTGGATTTCCTTCTCCCACTGATAGCACCAGGTGGCTTGTTTGTACACAGATCATCTGCTTTGGATTCTCAAAGGAAGGGTGTTACTAGTAATTCAAGGACACGCCAGCTCTGACTGCTTCCCTCTAGCTTCTTTTGGTGTCATCTTCTCCTCTGCAGAGCTTCTTAAGTGTTAGGATTTCCCAGAGACCAGGCCTTCATCATCTTCCCTTCCCCGCCGCTATGTGCTATCCCCAGAAAATGACATTCATCTCCCCTGAGTTCCCAAAGGACCCCAAGTCTACCAGTACTGCACCTGCTGCCTGGAAGCCTCCTCTCCTTGTCTTCTGTTTAGAAGGCTCCTACTCAACCTCCAAGAGCCAGATCCAAGGTCATCCCTTCAGGGCAGCCTCCCTAACAGCCTACCCCATCCTCATACATGTACCGATGCAGAGGACCGCACCTCGGCACTGTCAAACACAGTGCTCACATCTTTATTAAAGCATGTACCCCATTCTTTCATGGCTTATCTGTTTAAGACCCAGGCAAGGAGCTCCTCAAGATCATAGACCTTATCTCAACTCAGTGGTTTTCAAAATACGGGTTATGACCCATTGGAGGGTCGTGAAATATTTCAGTGGTTTGTAACCAGCAGTGATTTTGTTTTTCATAGAGCAGAACACAAAATATCAGAGTACACTGAATATAGCAAGAATCTTTATCGTTAGCAAAACTCTTATTTTATATATATATATGTGTTTTTATATATATATATATGTATATATTATATACATATATGTATATATATGTATATATTATATACATATATATTATATATATATATGTATATATTATATGTGTATGTATGTACATGTGCATTATATATGCATATGTATGTACTGCTCATGCTATTAAATAGAGTTCTTATTGTGCACCACCTTCAAAAAAAAGTTTGAAAGCCACCACCTTAATTCATCTTGGATGCCTCAGCATCTTGCACAGAGCCTGGCACATAGTAGGTGCTTAATAAGTACTGGCTGCACACATGAATAAAAGAATTTCAGTTTTTTCCTCTTATAGAGGTATCTCAACGGGGGCTCTAAGATGATCTATGGGTGATAAGGTGCCCCACTTTTCCGAATTGACTGTGCCTAGTGACTCCTGCTTTTCCCAGAACAAATCCCACAAGGCCACAGGAATGAAAGAAGGTTCCTTTTTGGGGTATCCGGTGATCTCCTTACCAAGGCACAAAAAGCAACCGGGGTGAAGGTTCCCTCATGGGGAAGCCCCCCTCTAATAGCCGCCAGCCCTGCTGGAGCTGGCCTGGAGACTCCGACAATTCCATTCCATTTGTGGGTGGGTTTTGGACTTGAGAATTCAGTGCTGACTACAAAGCCCTCTATGATCTCCACCACCGCAGCCCACCTACCCAGTGTGAGCCAAAGGCCCTCGTTTCTGGAGAGAGCAGTAAGCAGAACCAAGAGTACTATTTGCTGGACTGTCTCCTCTTTGATACTTTAAATAATAGCATATAAAAGAAGCTTTACCAAATAGCTAAGACTCTCTCCTTTCATTAGCTTAATAGTTGGATAGGCAACAGCCTGATAAAAATCGACTCTATAATTAAGCTACTAGTTATTAAAACAGGGGAAGTAAATGGTTTCCATTTTATGAGCACTAAATGAACCAAACGTTAACAAAAATCTATTATCACGTTTGCAGCGTGGAGGGGGAAGCCTCAATATTAATTATGTTTGGTGACAGAGCCGATGCGAGGTCCGGCTTAGATAAATCTTTTGTTTACACTGGACCGGTTCCACAGCCCTGAGCCACGCGCCCATTACCCATAAGCATTCGAAAACTCCTTGGTCCCCTGCACTCACCTGTGCAGGGTGCAGAGCATGGAGACGATAGTACCTCAGGGGTCCAAAAAACCCTTCAATGCCGGCCACATACCTGCTCCCTCCAATAATGAAGTACCCAGCGGTGTCATTATAATGGAAATCCTCTCGGAAGCTAGAGAAGAGCAAAGGGTTAAAAGAGTTCTGGGTTTGAACAGATTTTTTTTTTTTTTAAAGACTCTTTCTCCTTGACTTAAAACTCCAAATTTCTGCAAAGCCTTCTCTCTAGTTCTAGAAGATGAGACCATGGTGGGGTCAGGCAGACTTGGGCTAGGATCCCAACCCTGCTATTTACCAGCTGTGTGACTTTGGACCAGTTGCTTAACCTCTCTGAGACTGAGTCTTCTCATTGGTAAAATGATAATTCCTCTCTTACTGGATTGAGAAGAGGATTAAGTAAAGATGTACAGCATCTAGCAGCACCTGGCCCACCATAAGTACCTTTTTTTCCTTTTTATTTATTTTTTATTTGACTGTTTATTTTATATTGGAGTATAGTTGATTAACAATGTTGTGTTAGTTTCAGGTGTACAACAAAGTGATTCAGTTATACATATACATATATCTATTCTTTTTCAAATTCTTCTCCCGGTTGTTACAGAATATTGAGCAGAGGTCCCTGTGTTATATAGTAGGTCCTTGTTGGTTATCCATTTTAAAGATAGCAGTGTGTACACGTCAATCCCAAACTCCCTAACTACCTCCCTACCCTTCCCCTCTGGTAATCCTAAATTCCACCATAAGTATTTAATATGTGCCGCCTATTGATATTGGTGAAATTGTTTAGCATCATTGGAATTATTTGGAATTGCTGATCTTAATTGGAAGTATTCTGCTCTAAAAGGAAAAAAAGAAAACTTGTTGCGTAGATAGAAGGTGGATGTGGAGGAAAATAAAAACATACCCTATTAGATAAGAACTGAGGTCAAATTCAGAGTTAGGAGAAAGAGGCCACAGCAAGGTCAAAGGGCTTGGCCAAAGATAAGCGGTCAGCAGAGGTGATTTGTTGGAAGTCCACTTTGTCCTGAAAGACTTAAAGGATGAGGAAGGAAAATGGAGGGAAAAAATGGGTCAGCATGAATAAAATGCACAAGTTGTTCCTGGCAGCGTTATTTACATCCACCAAAGACTGAAAAAGTTTAGGCGTCTGTCAGTGAGGACTGGTACCCACATCCATCCAGTGGGCCCTGGACATCTACACAGCTTAAAAAAGGACAAAGGGCTCTGTGTACTGACCTGGAATCATCTCTAAAATACATTGTTCAGTGACAAAATAAAAATGAAAGAGCAGAACAATAAATATATTTTTATCCAAGAAAGAGGAGAATGGATTTTTTTTTTTTTTGTATTTGCATTAAAAAAAACTCTGGAGGTATATATAAGAAACTAATAAAAGTCTTTCCACATGGCATGGGGGTTAGGGGATGGAGTGGATGGAGGGCAGAGCTGGAAGCAAGACATCTAACTGTAGACCTTTTCACATTGTTTTGGTTTTTTATACGATGTGCATTTATTACCTATTTAGAAAGTAAAATAGGAATGGGTGGACAAGGTGCCATCAGAGCATATGTGAACAGCAAGGGCGGATCAAGATAGGCATCAAGTGAGAAGCCAGGCAAAGACAAAAAGAGCCAGGGAGCACAGAGGGCAGATGGCAGCAGAAGGGAAGAACACAGCATGTCAGGCAGGCCGCCAGGAGCCCGGCAGCCTCAAGAGCGATGGGCCAGGGTGACACGGATGGGACAGAGCAGCCACCAGTGGTTGGGTTGGAGAAGCCAGGCAACCGGGGGTCATCCCAGGAGAGAGGATGGGCTGTTAGGCAGAAATCCAACCCTGGGCAGGTGCTCCCGGCTGGAAGGAAGACAAAAAGGTGAAGAAATGGACACTCTGACAACATCAACCGATGGCAGCAAGAGGGAACACTTAGAAATCAGCTTTCTACAAAGGCAACTAACGTGGAAAAGAAATGCTTTATTTCCTGCTATTTCTTTTTCTGGAATCTCAGGCTTGAAGGGCACTAAGAAGATGACGGTCTCTTCTCTTTTTTTTTTTTTTTTACGTGGGACCACAAAGTTATTATCTCTGAGAGCTGTGAATTGATTAAATTTTTCAAGACCTTCGAAAGATATGAACATTCCAACTACCCTCATGAGGTATTACCCAGCACTCAGGGGACACAAAGCAATGCTTCTGCAGTAGAAGCTCTCATAATAGAACTCTGCTCAATCAACTCACCGGCTCACCTCACGGCTCATCCCTACAACACGCTGGATGCTTGCCAGCTGGAGGTTCCTCTCTGGAGGCTTCTTCTCATTTTTTTTTAATTTGAAAAAAATGTTTTTTTTATTTTTTGGCTGCACCGTATGGCTTGTGGGATCTTAGTTCCTCGACCAGGGATCGAACCTGGGCCTCTTGCAGTGGCAGCACGGAGTCTTAACCACTGGACTGACAGGGAGTTTCCTGTCTTCTCATTTTTAAATGGAGATAAAAATAGTACCTATCTACAGGGTTGTTGGGAAAATTTATTTAATATTTAAACAAAGCATTTAGAACAGTGCCTGGCACATAGTAGGCACCATAGCAGGCACCATAACTGTTAACTACAGTTATTATTATTAAACTAGTCCAACTTGGACTTTTGCTGCCATTTTTTTAAATTAAATTTATTTATTTATTTTTGGCTGCATTGGGTATTCGTTGCAGCATGCGGGCTTCTCATTGTGGTGGCTTCTCTTGTTGCTGAGCATGGGCTCTAGGCACGTGGGCTTCAGTAGTTGTGGCGCACGGGCTTAGTTGCTGTGTGGCATGTGGGATTTTCCTGGACCAGGGATCGAACCTGTGTCCCCTGTATTGGCAGGCGGATTCTTAACCACTGTGCCACCAGAGAAGTCCCTGCTGCCACTTTTTGAGTTGCATGCTTACGGAAGATGTGTTTGCTCCCAAACCTGTCAGTTGCCAACTGTATGGTCATTGTAACCATACAATGTAATTCAATCTTATGTGATCCAATAAAATAGGGATGGAGAAGAAAGAGATGTTCATTCTTTCAAAATTAAGTTGAATATTTTCGGTAGACTCAGTAAAGAATGGTTACTAAAAAAATTGTTGTGGAATTAGGACAGCTGGAAAAAGAAACTGAAGAAATCTAGATGGATTTTGGGCTCTGATCGTTTCACAAGTGTCTTTGTTTTCTTTTCATTTGGGAGAAACAGAAATTGGGTACCGTTTATGCAAGAAAGATCACAGAGAACTCCAATCAGTAGACCCATACTCAAAGGCAAGGCTCTAGCTAGAAAGATTGGCAAATTACTGTACATTTCCATATTTTAAATTAAAATAAAATATTTACACACTTTTTTTTATGGATCTTTGCTTTAACTGAATTCTCAACTAATCAATAAATTACTTGGTCCCTATGGTACTAGATTGCAATTTTTTATCGTCATTATAATACAACTAACATCTCTCCAGCTCGGTCTCCCTCCACATCAGTGCCTCCACATTTTTCTCCTCTAAAATTCTCAGTGGCTGCACCAAGACTGCAAGAGATTCCTTGCACTGTGCGTTGTTTGATGGTCATCAATTTTGCTGACATAAGAGCTGAGCTAGACAGTTCAAAAGCCCAAGCCAGTCCCTTCCGCAAGCCTCAGACAAGCTGGCAAACTATCTTTCCTCTTATCTGGATGTGGGAGAGTGCCTCGGTTTATTACTGTGGAGGACCCAGCAGCGGGGAAGGATTGCCTGCCTCTGTCTTTAACTAGGCCTAACTCAGAATTAGGGAAGTTTTGGCTCATGGGTTCTTTTTTTTGGCCACACCACATGGCAGGGACATGTGGGATCTTAGTTCCCTGACCAGGAACCAAACCCGGGCCCCCTGCAGTGGAAGCACGGAGTCTTAACCCCTGGACCGCCAGGAAAGTCCCTGCTCATGGGTTCTTTAGCAGGGGAATTTAAAGCTTCAAAACAGTTGTCCCTCCCACCCCTTAAAGTAATTCTCATCTTAAGTGTCACTTCCTCAGGGCCTGGTCTAAATTCTGGCTCCTTTGAGATCCTCTCAAGCCAACCTATTTATTTCCTTCCTTGCATTCATCACAATCTGTAATTTTAAATTTATTTGTGAATGTATTTGTTTAAGATCTGTCTTCCCCCCACTAGATTTTTAATTCCATGAAGGCAGGGATGGACTGTATTCTTGTTTTTCATCGTTTTATTCCCAGAGTCCAGCACTGTGTCAGGCATGTGGTAAATGTGTTGGGTGAATGAATATATACTGGATGGATGGATGGATGGACAGATGAATGAATTCGACACTAGACAAGTCTTCAGTTGTTACTGCAGCCTTTCATGCGGTGCAGCACTGAACTTCTGAGCGCTTAATTACTGATCTTCGTACACCACTTTCGTGGGATAACAGCTATCATTATGTTTACTTTACAAGAACAAATAAAAAGGAGGATTAAGAGGCTCTCCTTGGAACACCTAGAACCATCTACAATATCTGATGTTTAGTTTACTACCTTGGCCCATTATGAAATCTCTCTGGTGAATGAGATTCCTAATAGCTAACCACTGGAATCCCAGGTGGGCCCAACATTAATTCTTTAGTTGTTCTATTGATGGAGGGGGTCCCAGGAGTAGGGGAAGGGCAGCTGAGACGGTGGTAAGGGGAAGTCTTGCGCCTGGGGACTGCTCGTATTACAAGGTAAGGAATCATTTCAAAGCTTTCACCAGGATGTTGAATTGGTATGTACCTGAAACTCAGTCCTGAATTCTGGAATCTTACATGATCATACTGACTCCGTCTTTACTTAAAATTTTGTAATTTTGTTCATCATGGATTCTTTACATTAATCTTGATTTTTAAAAATACTGTATTAAATGTTATTTATCATGACTATCGTTATGAGCTGAATTGTGTCCCCCCCAAAATTCATATGTGTTAGTCTGAGCCCCCAGTACCTCAGAATGTGACCTTATTTGGATATAGGGTCATTGCTGATATAATTAGTTAAGATGAGATCATACTGGAATAGGGTGGGCCCTTAATCCAATATGACTGGTATCCTTATCAAAAGGGGAGATTTGGACAAAGACAGACACTCACACAGGGAAAATGCCACATGAAGTTTGGCATTATGCTGCCACAAGCCAAGGAACTATTAGAAGCTGGAGAGAAGCTTAGAACAGATCGTTCCCTAGAGCCTTCAGAGGGAGCATAGCTCTGCTGACACCTTGCTCTCGGACCTCTAGCCTCTAGAACTGCGAGGCAATACATCTCTGTTGTTTAAGTCACTCAGTTTGTGGTACTGTGTTCCAGCAGCCTTGGCAAACTAATATAATTACTAAGTTTTGTTGGTGTCTCCTTACATTTTACGCGGAAGGTGCCTCCCTTGCCTCACCTACTCCCAGCCCTGGATCTTACTGTGATTCACTCCACTCGTGTCAGCATCTACACTTCTGGGATTTAAGAGGAAAGGCAGCCCTTATATAGAAAATGAAAAAAAGCTTATGAAATTCAATTGGTTGTCAAAAGTTTCTGAGGTTGCATGTGGGTGTCAGGGGAGAAAGGGCAGGTATTATTTTAGACCTCACATCCTGAAATGCAAACCCTTAATTTCTGGGGCAGAACAGGGCACTCGAAGAGATTTCTAAAGGGGCCACACATCAGCTGTTTCTCCAAAGCAAACTCCCAGGCCTTTCCTATTCTCAAGCTCTTCATAGAAGATCCCATGGCCGCTGGTTATATAACAAAACGCACATCTGTTGAATTCTTCCTCACTGGTCTAAGTCCACCTGGTGCACTTAAGACTTCTAAGGCCTCAGCCTCTGTGCTTCAATATAGCTATCAAATCACCCCCTGACTTTCTCTTTGCAGGCTAAGGAATAACACTGCTTTATCCTTTCGCTATAACTCTAATCCTTTAATCCAGTCATGAAAATAAGAATTGTTCTATGTGCCCAGAGCCTAAAGGAAATTGTTTGACTTAAATGTAAACAGAAATGGTGGGGGAAAAAAAAAGTAGAGTGTATGTCCCCTACTCTGCTGACATCACCCCTCTTTGCTTTCCTTTCTTTAATAATTGGTTTCCAAGAAAATTTGGATTGTGTGGAGACTGAGTGAATGGAGCCTGTTTGGAGAGACGGTTTTTGGCTGAGCGTAGTGAAATGACTAAAGGATGAAGGAATGAACCTCCCCCCCATCCCCCAGCCAAAGTGCCCAACAGTCCTGATACATTTTTTTTTTATACTTTTTTTGTTTTTGGCCGCACCGTGCAGCATGAGGGGTCTTAGTTCCCCGACCAGGAATTGATCCCATGCCCCCTGCACTGGATGTGTGGAGTCCTAACCACTGGACTGCCAGGGAAGTCCCCTGATATATTTTTTTAAATTATACATATGAAGCTGCTAATTTTTGTTTCCGTTCTTTACTTATTCTTAAGCATTTGAATTTACACATATACATATACGCTATATATATTGATATATATATAAAATCTAGCTATGGTGAGATATCCCGAGTTCCTAAAGAAGAGCTCATGCCCCATGTTTCTGACACTATATGACCCACTCTTAAACAGGGATGTAGAAGCAAATTAAAAATATATGACAAATGAGGAAAAACATCCAATTCTCAGTTTCTGTAACTCTCCTAGAGAATCGTTATATAAGATTGAAGAGTTATCCCAATATCAACAGTTGCATACGTTTCAAATTCACGTTATAAACATAAGTATGAAGGCTGTCTCCTTTTGTGTTTTATACTAGGCCAAACTTACCAAACCCTCTCAATAAGCAACGTTAATACTTTTATTTTTCCGAATCCTTTATGGAATATAATTTTCAAAGAAACCAAATTATAAAGTGTCATGAAAGGAAGAATTTACAGTGAGATCTGGAGAGAGAACTAGTTTCTCTTGCTTGGAAAAAAGAAAAAAAAGGTTGTGGGGAAAACATGGAGAGTTTTTGTCCATTTAAAAAAGAAAAAAAATAGTACCAAGATTAGCTACAAGGCAGACTAGCCACAGTCCATGCTTGAAAAAACTGAATCAGACAGGGTGGGAATAACTTCAGGGTTGAGGGCTAACATATGAAGGTTGCTTAACCCTCATCCAGCAAATTTTGAATCAAAAGAAAAATCACACTTACCTAATGGTCTGATTATGGTAGTCTTTCAAATCCTGTCCAGTGCTGGTGGTTACTACTATCTATGTTGGGAGAGATACACAAGGATCAGTTACGCCTCAAGACCCCACATCATAAATACAGTCCTGGATATGAGTTACTCGTAAAATAGGCTTCATAGTCTTTCACCTGATCAGTTTCTGCAAAAAATAAAAGGAGCAGTTTACTAGCCCTGTGTATATTTCGAGACTTAAGACACTTAATTTCTCCAAATGACTTTTTTTTAAATAAATTTATTTATTTATTTATTTGGGGCTGAATTGGGTCTTCATTGTTGAGTGGGCTTTATCTAGTTGCGGCGAGCAGTGGTTTCTCTTGCTGTGGAGCACGGGCTCTAGGCGTGCGGGCTTCAGTAGTTGTGGCACGGGGGCTCAGTAGTTGTGGCACGTGGGCTCTAGAGCGCAGGCTCAGCAGTTGTGGCGCACGGGCTTAGTTGCTCCGCGGCACGTGGGATCTTCCCGGACCAGGGCTCGAACCCGTGTCCCCGGCATTGGCAGGAGGATTCTTAACCACTGCATCACAAGGGAAGTCCTGACTTGTTTTTAAAGAAGTATTTCGGTCATTTTATTTTTATTTATTTATTTAAAAGAATTTTTTTGGCCACACTGTACGGCATGCGGAATCTTAGTTCCCGACCAGGGATCGAACCCATGCCCCCTGCAGTGGAAGCTCCGAGTCTTAACCACTGTTCCACCAGGAAAGTCCCTCCAAATGACTTAATGTGATAAAAATATCTATAATGCAGTCTCCCCCAGTGGGTTGTAGACACTTCCACACTACCAGCCAAAGGTTCATTTGGTGTATTCGTGCTTCAAAGCATGTTGCATAAAAAGACAAGGAAATGTGTAAGATACTACAAGGAGTTCTTAGAATTTGTCTCTGATTCCTGGAGAGCCTTAGGGGGAAAAACAAGACAGGAGATGAATGTTCTTCATGCACTGTGGCTTCCCAACCTCTCTCCCTCAGCACTGAGAATTGTCGCTGTCATTTCAATGGTGACAATGTTTTCGTCGCAAATGTTGTTAGCTGCCATGTATTCTTCTCGTGTCTGGGACTACAACATAAGCCCCTGGGGTTAAGGGGCTCCCTTTATTCCCCCCAGTGCTAGCGCAGAGCAAGTGTTCAGAAAACACATTCTGACTTAACTAGATTGTCAAAGATGTGGCTCCAACACCATGTCTATGAAAGAAAAGCTAACCCATAAAATCCAACCCAATTCAGCCACATAGAGCATGTTGGTTCAGCGAAGAAAATGACTCAGACCAGTTGTTTCTCTAAACCAACCATTTACTTTAAGCCACTGTGTCCATTTAGTCAAAGCAATGAATATAGTAGTCTCACCACAGAGCTGGATTTTGTGTAGAAAAACAATAAGTACTATTTTGGAACCTATGTGATCAGAGAGACCAGATGGGATGGAAAGACGAAAGGGCAAATGGCAAAAGTTTACTAAAAAAAAACCTACTTCTTTTTTCTTTCCACTGCATCTGGTCTTCCTAATTCTTCTCTCCTGTTTTACCCGATCATGTACTCTGCCATTAAATTCACCTCTTTAATTAAAGAACTACTTTGACCTACTCTTCTGCTCCGAAAGCTTCGATGACGCTGTGCTGCCTTGCAACTAGAAAGTTAAATTCCAAGATATTCAAGATTCTCCACATTCTAGCCCTAAAGACATTTTTTTCTTCTATTAGCGTTCTATAGGCAGCGAATTTCTACTCCAAACTGGTTTATCTGCCAACCTCCAATGATGTGCTAAATTACCCGCTCCTTGCTTCTCCATTTAAACTCTGCCCATTCGTAAGAACCTTCTTTATGAAACCTCCCCTGAGCACCCCAGGGTGAAGTGTTGTCTCTCTTCCGTGAATCAATATGAATCATTTGGCAATTAAGCTCACCTTATGACACCCCTCACCTGCTTAATGTGACTTCCATAAATAGTCTGTAAGCTCCTTGAGCATAGTGCCTTGTATACAGCTGGTGCAAAATAAGATCTGTGATTTGCTCTCATGATGTGATTACCTAAGTGACACATGGTACTGAGCTGACCTTAAGAGAAAGCAGCAACCAAGTTATGCCACCATAATCCTCATGCAAATGAGAAGCTAAAACATGGACCACAGCAATGTCACCTAACAGCATTAAGGAAACAAACATACAAAAACTGCCAGCTAACATCTTACAGACTCTCCTCAGGAAAGCTACAAGGACTGACTTGATTTCTTTTCTCTTCAGAAAAAGGATAGACCTAACCACCAAGGGACGTCTGTGTATTACCTAATACACAAGACAAGCAAAATGGCTTTTCCAGTTTTGTTATCGGAAAGTTACAAATCAATAAGAAAAGCTGATGAGAAAATAAAGGAACCAGAAAAAAGTACCATACTGACATCGTATATATGAAGAAATGCAATTATCTTCAATTATAGCAATGTCACTATGTCACTAATTAACAATAATCACAGAACATGTGTCATACCAGAGAGTTTTTCTATCATACACAATGCATTAGTGGCTGCAGGAATCTTCCTCCAAGAGTTACCGTCAGAAGGCAAGCTGACAAACATCCACACTGCTGGTGCCATAATCCATAAAATCTGTGTTATGAAAGCTTGAAACTATTATGTGCAGTGTCTTATAGTACAAAGTAGTTAAAGAACCTCCATCTCACCAGAATTATCACTTAGGTTTTTTGGTTGTTATTTGTCGGTTTAATGCCGAGCATAAGCAACTGTTTTAACTGCCCCAAACAGTCAAACCATTTCTTGGCTGAACTAACCAATAAATTTCCTGTAAAATAGTTGTAGATTTGATAACACTATATAAATATGGCCAAGGCTGTCTTAACATTTATCTCCCCAAAGCCTAACTCGCTAGGAGAAAAGGCTTCAATTGCTCAGATAATTGTGGTTATGTAGCTGGCTATATTATTTACTCATTCACAATATAGTCGAAAGAAGCACTTTAAAAGTTAATTAAATGGGATAGAATTCTTATGATTTAAATTTCCAACTATAAAAATTTGATTTAAAAAGTGTTATGGTTGTAAAAGTCTATCAGATACCACAAATTTGTTTTTGCAGATTTCCTAGCTCCCTGACTTTACAGCAATGCTTAAAGTTAAGTGATGATGTTGATACGAATCACGGTGGAGCGAGCTTTCAGTACCTGGCCACCATTAAAAGAGATATCCAGGCGAAACCACTCCTTCAAGGGTATGGTGAATTTCGTTTTCACAGCAAGGTCTTCTCCTTTGACAAGATGCATTTGAATATGCAAGTGGCCTAAAAGGAAAATGAAAGCTTGTGAAAACGACAGAAAATACTTAGGAGTGAATGAAGTGGCTATATCTTTTCGACAACTGTCCTAAAAAGCTATAAAACTAGATCACATTCCTTCTTCCTTTAAATAAAAGCAAAGCAAAGCAAAACAAACAAAACACATATGTGCATTCATCTGTATATGTTTGTTTAATCTTCCAGAAAACAAGTTTAACTTGAATCCCATATTTGGAAACCATCATTCTCATTGAATTGCCACGTTGACAGCATTCCTTATTCTAGACAGACGTATCTGCCAGTAGACAGAGCATAAGAAAGCCACGCTATCGTTCTAAAGGTTCTGTTTCATACTTACCCTCTTCAGTAAGAAATACAGAAGGCGTGCCGTACATCTCGTTAGAATCAACAAAATACAGAATCCCACAGAGATTGGCCTTGCAATAATGGAGTAAATAAAGCCACAGTGAAACAGTAAACCTGTAAGAGTGAGGAGAAAAAAAATTCTGCAGATTGATATCATCCAAGAGCAGGTAATTACAGTTAACAGTGATGGAGTAAATTGCTTTCTTTCCAATGAAGGGATGAATTTGCCTTCGTGTTCATCATGGGAGATCAGCTCGCAAAGCTTGATTTTTGAGACAAAGGAGGTAGTTACAGTAACTGCAAAAGACAGGAGTTAAGCGTCGTTGTACAAAACTAGCAGACATTGTACCTTGCACCAAAACCCTTCCTGTGCCTTTCTGAGCTTCGCACAGGCCCACCATTTGAATCCTTGATTAAGGCTTATAAAGCCAGACACAGAATAAAAATCTGGATTTTAATAAGAGGTGACTTGATAAGAAGCTGTTCTAATTGCAATGATTTAAAAAAAAACATAATTAGGGCCTTTTGAGCAATTTTGTTTCTTTCAAAGATAAAAGCTCTAAGGCAGAAAAATGCCATAATTTGCAAATGGCATCACTATATGCTAATCAGGACACACAGATACAATTTTAATGCCCATATTAGGTTATTCAGTATCACAGTTCTGGCTGACCAATGTGGAACAACTACTCTAATTGTTCCATTTCTGGACTAGGGCTATTTTAGTTGAAGAAATATTGTCCATCTGTGATTTGTGGAGTGAGGATAAAATAACAGTGGTCAACTTAACTAGGACACATTTAGCCAAGCTATGGGATCCACCAATCATTCAGCAAATATTTGCTGTTAGAACATTTGCTGGATGCCACACATTGTGCTAGTGACCAGCAGTTCAAAGATAAGCTGGGAGTAATGCATTTTGCATGTGAAACATGAATCAAGGTCAAAACCTGTACAGAGAATGCTCTCCATTACCCCAGTAACCAATTCACAGTTTGGGTTCAAGTGGCAGCGGCCCCAGGTTCTTTGGGGACTCATCCCAACAAGACCTTTAGAATATTCTGGGCTTTATAAACTGGCCTTCAAATCGGTGGTAAGATATACAAACAGATGGTACCACACAGCTTCCTCCTGACCCACCCAGCTGAGCGAAAGCTCATGAAGATAAGTTATTACAAGGAAGCTTAGCAAGAACATACGCTTAGTAAAGTGACTCAAGATCCTTCTACAGCCAGCAGCATGGGAAGAATTAAATCACTCTGCTAAATCCATCCAGTCTGAGGTAAACCACAAACAATTTTCAGCATCTTCCATTCAGCAGAAGGAAAAAAATATATCTGGGTTTTGCTGAAATCAGTGGAGATCAGAAGTTGTGAGATTTCAAGCAGCTCATCCCATCTTCCAAGACAGAAAAGGCAAAGTGAAGGCTGCAATCTGGCAGGGCTGTGGCTGGCTGCACCTGACACCTTGCAAAGCCTCAGGCTCCAACACCTGACTCACCTACTTGGGTCATTCCCAGGACCAACATCCAAGGTCGAGCGAGGATCGATTGCCAGGAGCAAGAATAATTTCAGAATGCTTTGAGGTTCTCAGGTCCACAAATTCTACCTAAGCTATGCAGATCTCATCATTTTTCCAAAGCATATTACAAAGGTAGGTCTTCCTAACTGGCTCCACTAGCCTGCTCTGGTCCTCAGATCAAAAGAGTACTACCGCCCCACCGGCCCCCATCACCGGCCTCTTCTTACACTGGGTAATCTATCCGCTGGCGTCGGGTGGCCTCTAGCTCTCGATTCCGAAATCTTGGGAACTTCTTCACAATGCCTGTGTTTTCTCCGCTGGAGGCAAAGAGAAAGCCCAGGAGGGTGACCACATCTGTAAACAGCAAGATGGCTGCCTTTTAATTAGTTCCAGAAAAACACTGCTTCCAACATCACATTCTTCCTGGAACCCACCGCCTAGCTCCCAGCAAACATTTAAATGAAGAGTCTGAAAATATTAGCAAACATTTCTTGCACACTGAATATACGGCAGCCACCCGAGAAGCACTTTACAGAGCTATCTCAATTTGCGTTCATAGCAGCCCTTATAAAGGAGATTCTCTCTTAGTCCCATTCTACAGATGAAAAGCCTGAGGTATAGAGAGGTAAAATAACTTGCCTAAGGTAACAGAGCTAATAAGTAGTAGAGCGAAATTTCAAGTTTGCAGCTCAGGGTCTATGTGCTTAACCATTTTACATCCTGCCCTTCTAAGAAAAGCATTTTGAATTTATGTAATAATGATGACAGTTAACACTTCAGTAGCATTCACTATGGTCTGCACTACTGTATAAAAATATATGTATATATATATATAAAAATTCATTTAATCCTCATTATTATCCCCCGTCTATAGATGAGGAAATAGACGCACAGCTGCTAAAATACTAACATTTATTTAACACTTAGAATATGCCAGGCAACATGCTAAGCACATTTCAGGAAAAATCTTGCTTAATTTCACAATTTATGAGATAGATTCTATTATTGCCCCTCTTTAAACTGAGCCTTAGAGGAGGTTGAATAATAAGAGGTGGACCTGGGGTTCAAACTCGAGCAGTCTGGTTTCAGAATCTATGCACTTAAAATTGCAGGGTTTTTTTTTTTCGTCCGTGCAGACTTTCCACATAACCTCAACATGTTACCCTATGCAAATATTACTAACCATACTGCTTAAAACTAGGGAGGCTTCCACTTTATTTTGCAAATGTGTGAGAATTCTGTGGTTCTAGAAAAGAGGAGCATCCATAAGAAATCTGAAAGGGAAAACTGAGTTATTTCATCTATATTTAATACCTACAAGGCTAATATGGATTTTTTTACTTCCAATACCCCACCCCCCTCCAAAGAAAAAAATTCACCAATACAACCTAGAAATAAAGATCACTTTTCTCTTTCTTAAAATGTTCCTTGGTTTAAATATCCATAATTAAATGGTGGAAATCATCTATTTTCCTGGGCTTCTTAGAGTTGACTTCTGCACAAGTTACCGAATACCAATATTGGAAGAAATTACAGGAGCCTCAGCCTGGGATATTGGACACCCCAGCTCTCATTCCTCAATGGGGAAAAATGTTTTATTACATAAAGAGGTACCTCTGGTTCATTACAACTTGGAAATCATAAGAGCAATGTTTTCAAAGTCTCAGAGATGCATCTGGAAATCCAAAAGGGTGGAGTTATCAATTCCAACAAAAATACTTCAAACCTTATTTCTTTGCAATTTGAGCTCAACTGGCACACACCGGACTTGCTGGTTAGTTACGGGAGTGGAGAGAGGGGATTAGAAATGGAAATACTGCAAGGGTGTCTTCAGAATCCAAGGAAAAAATTCACCGAGAGGTTGATATCAGCCAACCTTTGTTGGCTTCCACCATGTTGAGTGGAACGTAAGAGACCAGACGGTCATGTTAGCCCCCTAGGAAGCCTTCTGCTAGTGATTGCTGTTGAGTTATCTAGTGTATAGTAGAAACATTTATCAAAATGAACAGGATTTGATTCTGCCCAACCTGACTCCAGTAAAAGGAGGCTTCAAAAAGGAGGTTTCCAAAGTGAAGGGAGTTAAAAGTGAATGTTGATGAGCCATTCCTTTATCCAGTGATCAAAGAAAAGCTGGCTGAATAGGAGAACTTGCAGCAAAAGACTGTGGAGGGAAAATCTAAGATGCGAAGATCTAAAATAATTTTTATAAACACATATCTTTTGTATCCAACTAAACCAAAGTGATGGTGGTTCTCTTGTAAAATCAGTGGCTTTAATAGTTCTTTGATTTGGAGTTCTATTACAATTTTCCCTCAGTATAATATTGTCTTTCCATTTCATTAGAAATAACTAATATGAATGAAATTTTGGTGCAGGGAAGGACTTTAGAATTCATCTAGCCCAGGATAACATTTTCTAGTAACTGACTGGCTGCTTGGAGTGCTATAACTGATCAGTGATGGCTGTCATAAGCACAAGAATGGGGAGTAACAGTACCAGTGCCATGCTCCATTAAAGAATCTACAGGTAGGAACACTTAAGTCCAGAACTTGGGCCCAAACAGGTTAAATGGCTCACTTACATAAAATGTAAGCTCCAAGAGAGCATGCACTTTACTTCATTCATTATTCCATCCTCAGAGCCAGAATAGTGGCCAACACTTGACAGAGGCTCCATAAATATTTAGGGAGTGAATGAATGAATGGATGAATGATCAAATGAACATAGTTGTGGCCAAGTCAGACTTTGAACCTGTCTTTCACCCAACACGTTTCATAATTTTATAATGTGCCCCATGCTGTCCAAGCCAAAAATTAAGTCTCTCTCTTTTCAGGTCCTTCCCCCAGATCCATTTCTTTGGCTAATCTTGAACGAGGAAGTTAGGTAGGGAAAAGGCATCATTATGACATAAACACAAAATGCCAGGAAAACAGTTCAGGTTTGGAACCTACCCCCTTGGTCATTTTGCTTGTTTTATTTCCTCAGATTCTAGAGCAAAAAGAGGCATTAGATATAACACGGTGCAAACTCCTTCATTTGGCGACAAGAAAAGGGTTAGTGTCTTGTTGAAGGTTGTATAACTAATAAGGTTGTATGACTCAAACCTGGTCTGCCACTGCAAAACAATGAGCTTTTTATTAAACCACATCACATCACACAAGTCCTCACAGAGAGAGCTGGGACTGGTGTTCAGCTGGCATGCCCCTGAGCGGCTGTACTAGTTGTTAAAGTACTGAAACATGTCAGTGTATTGGTTAGATGATTGGTGTTGCCTTGAACCTCCAAAGCCCCCACCCACTCCCCACCCACCCTGGCTTCTTCAGAGTAGAACCTGGCTCAGCAAGGATCTCCAGCACCATCCTGTTTCAGCACCAGGGCCAGCGCCCAGGGGAGCCTGACTGGGGCCCCCAGCTCATACTCTTTGTTAAGTATTTTGAGTATCATCCTGAGTGGAGTGGCCGTGGGGGGGGGGGGGGCTACATAGCCCATTCTCCAGTTCAGCATAGTGATCAGAGCCCTGACAGGACACCTGCTCTGGGGAAGGGCCCGTTTCTACATAACAAAGCCCTATTCAGGATGAGTTTCAAATACATCACAATGATGCAGCTGAGACCCTCAGTCCCTTTGTGGGGAAGTTAGAGATAGCCTTGAAGCAAGGAATAACTGTGGCTAAAATTTTGTAAGGGGAACCTGAGGAAAAGAAGCTAAGATTTTCCCACCCAGAGAAGTAAAATTAGAATGTCGATAACTCAATCTGCTTTCCAAATGCAGGACACTAAACAGGCAGCGGCGATCTGGAGTTTTATTTTCCTCAAAGCCAAAGCCTGAGAGCAAAACACTCTACCTTCTAGCAAGTATGATTTAGGTCAGAACTTCCACCCCAAAGGATACTAGGCAGCGAAGTGAGTGCCTAAGGAAGTCTGTAACATACTCAATACTAGGAGTCTTAAGAGTAAATAAATTCCACTCCCAGTAATTTATCCTCCAAAAATATTCATTTGTGAGTACAAAGATACATGTACAAGGATGCTTGGAGAAACCTTGTTGTTAATGTTAAAAGACTAGAAATGACCTGCATGCCCAGCAGCAGGGGACAGGGTAAATCAATTATGGAGTGTCAGGCAACGCAACGCTAAGGAGCTATTGAAAAGAATGGGGTCGTGTAGCAAGTACTGACAGAGAAAAATCTCTGCCGTATTGTTAATGAGCGCAGGGCCGAGTCTATAGTATCCTCCAACGTGTGTATGAAGAGAAGGGGCTATCAACCTAATGTTTATATGGGCAGAGAACATTTCTGGAAGGAGACACAGAAACTAGTGTTATTGAGTTTGCTTCTAGAAATAGGACCAAAAGAATAGAGTGGGTGGGAATTTACTCTTCCCCCAAACCCTTTTATGCTCTCTGAACTTTCCACCAGGTACACGTATTACTTTTTTGGCTACAAGGGAAGAGAACAACATCTCTGAGCATTTCCAAGCAAGTGGGGAGGAGCCAGCCACATGCAGAGGTCTCCCCGCGCTGGGCGCTGTGGTGGTTCAATCCACTTCAAAGAGGCAAAGTCCAGTGGGTGAGGAAAACAGGGTGATCCATGTCAGTGAAAATTCAACTTATGAAAAAGTGTATTCCTTCTAATTTAGAGCCTGGGTTAGGACTATATTAGCATATTTCAGAGAGGTGGCTTAGCAAAGTTGAAAGAATAAAGAACTGGGACTCCATTAACAAATTCCCTGAGCCTCAGTGTTCGCCTCTGTAAAGAGAGAATGAGAATACTGTCCTTCCCTGGGCTACTATGGGTTAAGTGAGACATTCTGCATAGGAAAAGTGGTTCAAAAATCATAAAGGGCAATGCAGATGCTAGGTACTCATTAGCACTATTACTGAAAAATCCAGTCTACAGTGATTAACTGGGGGAAAGAAAGAACTGTGTCTTTTTTTTCCAGAACTATCAAATGTGTAGCTCTTACAGGTACAGAAAGTATTATCATGTCATTAACTTGAATTGTCTCACCGAATAAGCTGATATTTTCACAGAGACACGTAAAGTCTGTCTCCAAAATGTGACTTAGTCTATGATTTTGTTGTAAAGGAATTTTGTTATAAGAAATTCCACTTCCAACCTATTGGACCTGAAAATGAGAATGAATTGTTAGTGAAAAGAGAGTGAAGAAGGAAACTTCCACCTTCCCCAGTTTCTGACTTAAGAGGGAAGGTCAGAAAAATGTTCATATAGGTAGGAGCAGGACAGAATGCTTACTGCACCTGACCCCGGCATTTAAGAACCTCCAAAGTGTGGCCCCAATCTGCCTTCCCAGTCTTATTTCCTGAATTGCCTATCTCACACTTGAGACTCTACC